TATTAATTCTTATCACATTTTTCAGATAATTGTTGTGGTATAAATTCGAAAACGAAATCTAAAATCACATAAGTAAAAACTTTACTCTGTTCTAAAATTCTCGTATTTTTCATATTTCAATCGGATTCGATGTTGTATGTTTGACTTTACTGTGTATACAAAACACGCTAAAAACTTTTAGTCACATAGAGCATTTGGTTTGAATTGTGTAACTATTTATTCTTATTGAATATAAATTCTTATTCAAACATTGTTTACAATATATAAAACAAGAATAATTTCAACTGCATTCAATATAAGAAATAAAAAAAGTTACCTCACATCTTTTAGTTTTTTACTCTCCGTTGACCGTGTAGTGGTGGTGTAAGATTATCCACTACCCATAATCATCGCGTGGGTGTCGTAAGAGGTGACAGTGGGAAACAAACGAGGAGATGGGCAGCAACGTTTTCCTAATAACAATTAAAAAAACTGCGTAGCCAATTCGCCGGCCAAGCACACCTATGGCAAATATCTCCTAGATGAAGCAATTTATGAAAGAGGTTTATGTTCAGAAGCGAACTTTTGATAGGCTGTAACGGTAGCGGTAACGCTAACGGTAAACTTTATTCTGAGATAATAGCAACCTCTTTTGAATTCATAATTCGTTTAAAACTTTGCCAAAGCAACATCTTTTGAATTCATAATTCGTTTAAAACTTCAATTCTATGAATAAATAAACTATGGTATGGTATACTAAGCACCTCGTTGTTATCTGTAAAGTTCTATACCCATTACTGCTAACCTATATTTCCTTTTATTTCTGTTTTGGCTGATGTCATGCAATCATTATCGAAGCGTCGGGATAGACTCGTCATCTCTTTTTTGGCGTTATCGATATCTTATATCTTAAAAAAAATAAGATTGTTTCGTCGCACAGAAATTTAAGATACAAAATCTTGCTGGCTTTATATCTGTACCTGAAAATCTGATAATTGTCTTTGAGTCTTATGGAATGAGACTTACAAACATTATGCCCACAAAACTTTTGCGGTACATCTTCGACTAATTTGTATCCAAAAAGTTTATAATTTTAAGATATAATACTTATACGTGGTAGAGCCATGCTGCAGCTATATTATGGTTGTCGCACGAATGGGTCGGCTCGACCGGGGAAGGACCACGCTCTCACAGAAAACCGGCGTAAAATAGCAGCTTAACGCTGCTGTGTTTCGTATGGTGAGTGTAGAGAACCGGAGACCCTTTTTACTGGCAAAGAGGCATTCCATCTTAGTCCTCACGGGTGACAACGCATCTGCATCTTGAGTCTTTATTGAGGATAGATGTAGATGTCTATGGGTCACAGTGACCACTTACCATCAGGTGGACTGTGTGCTCGTTTGTCACCCGATCCTATAAAAAAAAAATATTAGGTCATGCTGAAAGAATTTGCACTGGCAAGTTTCTCTACTCATTATTCACTTATTAATTTGAAAATATATTAATCATTATTATTTCAGAGCCACCGAGGTGGTATTATTTATTTCAGGCAGAGCCCATATGAGTTTTAACAAATTAAAATATTGCTAGGGTTATTAAAAATATACATATATAAAAACAACAGAAAAATTCAAACAGTTGTAAGATAGATCCACACAACAACATATACACCGTTATGCTGCTGTTTGGACCCGCACTCACGCTTGTAGAAGTGGAAAGTCCCACCGATCAACGAATACCCCAAGGATACTATTGGTGCTGTTCCGCAAACGGGTCAGCGCGGAAGCACACCGCCTCCAAACTATCACAGCGAATTATATATTTGCAACATTTATTTAGTAAATTTAGGTGCTTTGGATTCACATACGGTAAATACTTGTTATTAAACGGTGTCGAATATTACATTCCGCTGATAATAGAATTGGCTAGCTTTTTACCCAGATTTTCTGCCGACTTCCAAAAAGGAAACGGTACTCAATTCCACTGTATGTTTTCTTTATGTGTGTTACCTCATAACCTTTTACTGCGTGAATCGATTTCGATGATTCTTTTTTTATTTGAAAGCTGGTACTTCTCGTATGGTTCCATGTGAATTTGATCAAGATCAGACTAATAGTTTTATTCTTAATAACTTATATTGAAGTCGGCTGTACAAAATTTAAAATTTTTAATTATTATAAATACTTAACATTATTATCCCGTCCATATCAAACCCTTCAAAAGTAATCATAGTTATTTTATATCAATAAATATATTTAAAAGATTATTTATTATTTTTAAAAGACAAACGAAAATGAGTACGACACAAAGTCGAACGCGAAAGTACAGGAGACTTTCTTTTAATATTTAATTAAATTGATACTCAGCTTTAAGTTATCTTGTTTCACAGTTCTAAAAAATCTGTTGATGTTTATCTGAATATGTTTTTCTGTAGATTCTTGACATAGTTTTGGTAGTTCTGAACTCGGTTAGGTTTGTTAAATGAGTTAATTTTTCAACACCTTTTATAAAAAAAAAAAAAAAAACATCCGCTGTTTTAATTAAAACTGCCCCGTAATATTTTCATTAAATTTTATCCTCGGTTTTTATAGGGAAAAACGTGATTAATTTGGATCGCAGTTATTTTAGGCTTCTTATAGCATAAAAGTGACGAACGATGTATGCCCACAAAAGTGCTGCTGCAGATCTCCTTCTATAAAGATAGGGGTTGTAATCCGTTAGCTGCCGTGTCAGTCGTTGCATATAAACATGACTGACGACAGTGTAAATGTAATTTCTAAAAATATTGGATGTGCGAAAATTAAATATAGAATATATAGCTAAATATTACACAAGCGAGATTAATTGTTTAACAGTATTTTTTATTTAAATATAATTTATTTAAGAGAGAATCAACGTGATAATAGAAGTCAGAAATAGAAAAAAAAAACAAAAAAACTGAAAGCTAACTTCAAAGAACTAAAAAGAAATTAAGTAGTTTTACACTAAGAAGTCAGTGCTGACATAGTGTATAAAAAATTAAAGCCGCGACTTCATGATCCTCTCTATAATGTGTATTAGATTATTAAACATAATCCGACACTAATAGTCGTTGTAGTCATATTTTATTAAAATATACATATTAAATTATGGAATGGCTATGAGAAAATATTACTTCTTTAAAAACAATAATTGGTAAAATCGGTTTACGAACCTTCTAATATATTATTTATTTAAAGTTAAAATATTGCCGATTTGATAATTTCCTCTGTAATAAAATACTTTTTAACTTCACACTATATAGAAAATAAATGATTTTCAAACAATCCGAGTTATTTTAAGTTATTGGTGTCACCCCAGTGGTGTCATTGGTGTCATCTCGACGTTTTGAGTTATTCTGACTATTCCTACGAGGATGTCACTATGTCTGCATGTGTATATGTGTGTGTGTGTGTGTGTGTGTGTATGCGTACGTGCGTGTGTGTGTATGTATGTATGTATACCTCTCACAACTTTTGAACGCCATGTCCAATTTGAGCGAACTTGGTGGCGTTTCAAAGAGTTTCACCAAACTTAGATTTTCAATACTGTTTGAAACGATTTGGAAAGTATATTTTGATGAATCTCAAGTGTAAAGTTTCGAAAAAAAGTGATTTTTTCACATAACTTTTGAATTTATAGTGTAATGGTTTTTTTATAATAAATTTTATTATTGTTCTTAAAATACAGTTCGTTCGAAAGTTACCGTTGTCAAAAAATTCAAAAAAGTGTTTTTTAATAACTTCGAAATTTCTGTTCAGATTGTTTTTGATGTAATAAGTTAACTTTTATTTACAGGGATGGCCTTCAGGGTCAATCGTATTTTTTTATAGAATAAGGGTCAATAACTAGCGGACAATCCACCTGATGATAATTGGATGCAGTGGCCCATAGACAATTTACATTTAAAAATACAAATGAGTTGTCATCCCTGAGGTCTTAGATGGAATGCCTCGTTTCAGGTAAAAAGCGGTCTCCGGTTTTCTACACTCACTATACGAAACACAGCAGCAATATGCTGCTATTTTACGTTGGTTTTCTGTGAGAACGCATTCCTACCCCATTCGTGCCGAACTTTTCGCGATAACATTATATAGCTGAAGCGTGGCTCTACCACATATAACATTTTCTTAAATGAACAATTACTTTAGTTTTTAAATAGAAACAAAAACCACATTTAATGATATTAATATAATATTGTATTTAATGATTAACATTTTACTTGGACTGAAATAAATTTTAATTTTATTTTATAATAATGGGTATCCCTTTTAATTGTAACACTCATAAATTAAATATTTATGATAAAATAAAGAATCATCAAATTATATCGACTATTCAGCATAGTGATATTTACTTCTTTACATTTTTGGCAACCGATGTAAATTTAATTAACTTAAAAGTAGCAGACAATTTTATATCGGAATATCATATTGGTTTTGTGCCAAGTCACTACATGGGCTATTTGACTAGATGAAATAGTTCTACAATACGAGTAATAAACTCTGGTTACAGAGCGATTGCAGATATGATTCGAAATCACTTCTGTTGATTAAGTAAAAAAAGATATACTCAAAGATATTTTATCGCCAAGCTTTTATTCGAAACTCACACGAATCGCTCAATTATCCGAATATATTAAATTTTAATTAAAAATGGTTTAACGTATTATAATGATGGCACTGTGTAGTGGCGGTGTAATAATATTTACTACCCCATTACGTCCCTTGGGTTTCGTAAGAGGTGACAAAGGGAAACAAAACTGAAGATGGACATCAGCATCTTCCTAATAACAGTTAAAATATTTAAAAAATTGCCGTTGTCTAGCGTGCCAACTATGGCAAATATCTGCCCGAAGAATGGATTTTTGACAGACTGTAGATGTAATGGTCCTTTTCGATTCTGGTGCTAGCATCAGTAGCACTCTCTGTAGTATATATTTGTTTGTTGATCGCCTTAAAAGAAAATAAATTGTATTTCTGATAAACGTTATTATTTTCCAGTTATAGCTACGGCACATAACATAACATTTTTAGAAGTACCACAATATGGAGATCCTCGGTGGAGTGCTGACCTCGTATGTCACTACGTCAGTGAAAAAGGAGATCCGCCGTTGCACTCAGTCAAATGGTATCGAGACAACAATGAAATTTTTCGATTCACACCAGAACAGCAAGTTAGTACAATTTTATAAAAGTTGTACAGTTAAACATAAAGCATTAGTAATATTGATAGTTTAAATTTCAGTATTACTTGTGTAATTTTATTTATTTTATGGTGTTCAAAAAACCATATTAAATTTGACCACTCGGCGATATTTTATATATATATATATATAACAATTTTATTTCTCCTTTTCTCCTTATTATATATATATATATATATATATATATATATATATATATATATATATATATATATATATACTTTTATATTCACATAATAGTTGGTAATCGGTAAAAATATTTGTGATAATATCGTTTCAAATTTGGGAGGTTATATTGTTTAATTAGGATGATAATACATTAACAGAAATTGAATGACATATTATGACTTTCGTTACCTAGGATCTTCGCGCAACCACCGGTTAACAAAACTTTAGCGCAATCAAACAAAAAATAAAATATGAACAAACAAAAATTATTTTTTTATTTATTAGATTACATTACAATATGTTAATGTATCACGTTTAAATAAAGAGTTTTCATTTTACTTCATTTCAACCAATAAAATATTGTAAAGATGTCTCTGTGAAAACGCCTAATGTACGATATTAACTATATTGTAAACATATTATACTAAATATGAGATTGTACTGATAATTTTCTCTTTTGCTCAGCCAACAACTAGAACTTTCAACACTACTGCTGGAGGTGTCTCCAGAGGCGTTTGCAATATGCACAGCTGTTCGATTAGTGTTATTTTACCTAAGAGATATGATACTAAGATATCTTTTACTTGCGAAGTATCTACTGAAGGACCGAGGTTTGCTGTGGTTAACCAAACGAAATATTTAACTGTGGCTGGTATGTAACTTCGACTTTATTAAAGTTTTATAGAATAATTAAATTTATTTTATTGTCTTGATTTAGATTTTTAGCTATATGTTAATTTTAATGTTGTATTTATTTTAAATATCACATATCTTTTACAGTGACCTTGAAGGAAGATCCTATTATAACAGGAGCATCAGGAAGTGTTCAGTTGGGAGAAGATGTACTTCTCAATTGTTCAACTTCACCTGCTATGCCACCGGCAAATATAGTGTGGTATATTGATGGAAAACCAGAAAAGGTTTGCAAAATGATTAACATATTTGACAGCAAAGTTTTTATTTTTTATTTGAGTGTAAACAAAACTAATTCTCTTTCCATCACTAAACTTGTCACACTAGAAAAATGAAAGACAACCTGTTGCAAGAAAAATTAAAGACACCCTGTTGCAAGAAGAATAAGGCGTATTATAAAAGCCTGTTAGATTTTTCATCTTTATGTATATAATCGTTGTTGCGTCTAGTGATCGTGTAGCTTCTAAACTCTACGATAGAGCTATAATAATAATAATATTAATAATAATATTCCACAACTATCAAACAGCGCCATCTAGTCCCAAGCTAAGCAGAGCTTGTGTTATGGGTACTAGACAACTGATAAACATACTTATATATTTCTAAATACATAAATATTATAGATAAATTACACCCAGACACAGAACAAATGATCGTGCTCATCACACAAACATTTGTCCTGGGTGGGAATCGAACCCACGACCTCCGGCGTAGCAGTCAGGGTTACTAACCACTAGACCAACAGGCCAGTCAAATTCTAAGCTATATTATTGTAGCATGAATGGGTCGGCTCAGCCGAGGACTACGACCACACTCTAAAAGAATACCAGCGTAAAATAGCAGCTTAATGTTGCTGTGTTTCGTATGGTGAGTGTAGAGAAACAGACACACTGTTTACAGAAAACGAGGCATTCCTTTTTAATACTTATGGGTGACAACGCATCTGCATTTTAATTCTTAATCGAGAATAAATGTAGATGTATATGAGCCACAGCATCCGCTTACTATCAGTTGAAATGTGTGTTCGCTTGTCACCCTTAGTCAATAAAAAAACCGGCAAAGTGCGAGTCGGACTCGCGCACCGAGGGTTCCGAACAAATCTGTAGGTATATAAGTTTAAAATTATTAAAAACATTTTTATTTTATGATGTAACTAAAAATATATACTTTTCGCAATTTTTCCTTCATCTGTGCTATAAAACGTTGCTTCGTACCAAATTTGAAGATTCTGAGTTCACGGGGAGTACCCTGTAGGTTTTTATTCCCTTACGAATGTCGAAAATTTACGGCATAAACGACTGTATCTTATGATTGCGTCAGCTTAGCAGTTTGATTTTTTCACAGCTCTAAGGGACAGTAGACTTGAGTATTTGATATGAATTTCAGTTTGGTACCTCTAAGTGTTCTTGAGAAAAAGGGTCTTGACAGACAGACAGACAGACGGTCAACAAAGTGATCCTATAAAGGTCCCGTTTTTTCTTTTTGAGGTACGGAACCTTAAAAATACCAAAAGAGATCATATTATTAACACTTTGTCGAAACAATGCTTTTTAGTTATTTTAGGATCCGATAAGTAGTTCTGTGGCTAATTTATTGACCAAATTGCCTCATTTACTCATATGTTAGTTATATGCCAAAAAAGAAAATCATAATATCTGGAGTCAATTAGTGGCGCTGTGATGCAGATGTTTTGATATTTAAACTGTAACAAGTTACGTAGTGAACATATTATGAACGTATCAAGTATTTGATTTTGTAACAGACAGACCGAAACACTGACAAAGAGTTAAGCTCGAATTTTGACTTAGAACAGCAATTATGTTAGTAAAGCAAAGTCCGCGTGCGCAAATTCGCTAGAAAAGCTAGTCACTTAATTAAATTCCTTGACGTAGGATATCAATAACATGCACGATTTTATAGACCCAATCATAAAGGTTGCACTCGTGGGCCACTCGTCACGTAATTGCAAAATCGGACTGTGAAATTTCATCGCGTAATATATTCATACGTAGATTTCATATGGCATATATGTTCGAATATGTATAATTGTAATGCAGGACAGGGAGTTACGGGTTGTGTCGTAAACGACGCAAAAGAAGGATAGAGATGCATTGTTACCTCTGAGGAATAAGATGGAATGCCTCGCAGTCTCTACATATATTGGCTCTGTTTACCCTTCCGACCGGAACACGGCAGTGCTCACATTTGGCGAACTACTTAGGTAAAAGTAGTACCCACATGGACGAACTTTAAGGCAGAAAAGGAGCCCCACTACCTAGGAAGTCTTAGCAACTATAAAATATATCAAATTTCTTGCAAAGTATCCTTGAAATCTATATTGAAAAAAAAATATTCTGTTTTATTTCTGTAGTAATTTACTGAGTACATAAATGTACAATTATGATAACTATGGAAGGTAATTTCTATGCAAAATATCACGTTATCTGCTAGCAGTTATTTTTCGTAATGCCGTCAGCGGCATACAACTTCCATATGCTAAAGGCATGTGCAGAAAAATTGTTTTTGAAACTTTGCAGCGTAATTCACATCTAATTAGTCTATATGTTGCAAATTTAAAAGAAATTTATGAGAAGATGCGTGTACAGATAAATATTTATTACATTTTTGACTCATTAAAATCTTTTTCTAAACACACTTTAAAGTTTTTTCTTTTATTTTATAACTACAACGCCTAGTGGTGTAAAAGAATAACATCATTAAAATTCAAATTTAATATAATCAACAAAAATATAAGTGTAATGAGACGTTACATTGCGAAATATCATTTTTATAAAGGGTTAATTAATAGTAAAAAAAACTTATTTTTTTCTTAGAATTGCAACTTCAGTCAATATCAAGTTACATATTGTATTATTATTTATGTACAGGTAAATCTCGCGATAAGTCTTAACACCATATAAATTGTGTCATTAAATAAATTGATGCGTTTGATTTAATTTAAAGTGTATTTTCTTCGTTTTAGATCATATAAATAAAATCTTATTTATAAAAATGTTATTTTACTATTAATTAATTTTTTATTTTTGAGTTATCGCTGTTTTTAAATGTGTTTATTTAATTTTATGCATCATTGTTGGTTTTTCACCGCCATCTTGGATTCGTCATATTAGATCCGACATCATGAATGTATTTTATTGCCAGCAGTTGACCTTTGTCGGTCCCTACAATATTAATTTGATCGAGTACCACAAAACTATCCCTATCCTTTGCTGAGTTATAACTCTTTCTCTTTTTTTTCTCTTTTTTGGTATGTTGGTCATTTTCTTTTCCACCATGTTGAATTATTTGCACCACTGCCAGAATTTGTTCAGGGTGTAGGTTTGTAGTTAGAATATTAGTTAAGACACTACCCCGCTAAGTCTTACCGTAAAGCCACTCAGTAATACACCAGCTCCTGAACAAGCTAAACACAGACATCATTTTATTCGTATTATTCTCAGCAAACTCTTTCAATTAATATTCATATCATGGGGGTGCATAAAAAACATAGGCCGCCATCTTTGGCTGTCCGCATTATTGGATTTATAATAACATCACTTTACTTATTGTATTTCACTTTTCAAGCCCTTTCATTGCATATTCATATCATAGGGGTGATTGCTGTGGAATAGGATATAATAAAAATTATAAATTGCCATTTTGTAAGGTTTGCGATATTGGATTAAAATAGTGGCATTTGAGTGATCGTGCATTGTCATGAGAATCAAATGTGTGTGCCAAATTTAGCCTGATAGTTTTAATGGAAGTGGGTGAAATATTAATTCAAAATTTTAGGACACAAGTGAGATACAAGTGAAATAAAGGATTTTAATAAAATATAATAATTTTAAAATATGATCCACTTTGCATAACAAAATTATTAAAATGACCCAGATTAAAGAACATCCGACCCGACAAGCCATGTCTGTTTTTTAATGTATATAATATTTTCGTATCAACCAAAACGAGGTATTATTATCAAGAATATAGCCTGTGTTGATGACTCACTGATGAAATCTTAAATGTACGTTGCTCTTTATGTAATTTTTAAGGCTCTTTTATAGTAAAATGCGTAGGTATGAAAACTATGCCGCGAATGTCAAGTGAATTAGTACTCCTGCGGAAAGAATTTTAGGAAAAGCAATGTACGACGTCAACCTCGAAGATGTCTTGGTGGGCAATGTCCGGGACAGCCGCGAGCTCTTAGTTTGTTCAATTTTATTCATAAGACAAAAATAAAAACGGATTTTCGAAATGTGGTGTTTATGTCATAATGACATAAAAATAGTAATGTGTAATAGTGAAAAACGTATATCAAATGAAAAGAAATTTGATATACATATTTCACGGTTACATGAATCCCGGCAAGTTACACTGTAAAATAGCAATTAAGTTTAATCTTTATAATTTTTATGGAGCCAAATAGCCGTTTCTGTCTTCACACTACCCTTGTCCGTATGTTTTTGCAAAATGATTTTTTTTTCGTGCAATGATTATATTTAAGTAAATTTACAGAGTATAAAAAAGTTTAAAAGAATTGCAACGTGGCTTTAATAAGTATATTTTTTATTAAATGCTACTTTATATAATGTAAATGAATGTTATCTTTTTGTAGACAGAAACGTGGATGGTCGACAACACTGAAATTTCATCTCCCGATGAGTATGGGCTTCGTTCAAGTTGGAGACCTATGAGACTTCGAGTAAACACACCTAAAAGCGTTATAGACTTAAGATGTGAAGCAACCCAGCCTGTTAGGCCTGCTTTTACTAGATCTACAAATACCAGTTTGATAGTTGCACGCTCGCCCCATTTATCAATGTTCACGGCTTCAGGTAAGTGAAAATTATTTATTCGATTACTTAAAAACCAATGTGCTTTAAAATTAAATCTGATTACTTCAGATAGCTATCGAAATAGATTATTTTAAATAATTATAAAATTCAATAATGACTGTTAATAATAAACATATGAATTTGCCTTCAAAGATAGATGATGCAGATTGAAATGAGGCTGAGGCAAAAATTTATGTAATGATCTCTGTTGTATGTAATGATATTCATTACCATATAACCTATATACATCATAACCAGTCAGAAAAAAAATTCATTAATAAATGAAACAGAAAACCTATGATAAAGTGATATTCATACATGTTTTTAAGTTACGAGATATAATCTTAACTTGTTATTGACGATTGTTGTATTTTTTACTTTATTCCTTTATATTATAACATATTTACGAGTATTTACAAGACAATTTCTTTGAAATTTTAATTCTTACAGGTTCAAGTTCATCAAGGGCGAAATTGGCAGTTCTTATGATAACATTGAGTACTACAGTACACATATTTTCTAAATACAGTGCCTTGAGAAGAGTCTAATTGACTCGGTCGAAAATAGATGAGAATTGGTAACTGCGTTAACGAATACCTTAGGTTTTAGGTAGTCATTCTTTCCAACCATTGCATATTGCACACCGTCAGCATTTTTTAGATTAGATAGTAAACAAAGTCATTGAAAATTGGGAACGCAAGGCCTGCTAGAAACAGATTCTGAGACCTATTATTATCCTTTGTCAATAAATTCATGAAATGTTTTGCAGATATTGGTATTAAATGTAGTTATTTCATAATTAATGTTTATACGTAAAGGCTCATGTTTTTTTAACCTTTCTTAGTTGATGATGATATTTAAATGTACATTCTAAAATATATAATATATATTTTCACAAGTTAAGAGGTAGGGATGTTGAAAAATAAGTTTTAGCCAGGAAAAGTGGTAGTTGCAGGTCTGTATTTGAATTCTGAGGTAATTTGTGCAAGAAATAATTAATCGATTTTCTGATTTGGGTGTTTCTCTAAGCCTCACTCAAGGCTACCTCCGATGTTATTGTGTTAATACACGTTTAATAGAAGATTTTTGGCCTATATCTTTCGGCGTATACTGGTAACCCTATCCCATATTATTACAAAAGTAGTTTATTCTTAATTAGTCTCAGGCTTAAACTTGATAATGTTTTAATAAAAAACTGCCATATACAATATCTGAACTAAAATGTTAAGTATGAAATTTGACAGCAAATGTCGAGTTTCGCAAGGACCGTTGCCGCGGCTGAAAGACATCTTCCGAGAGAAAAACTTCATGAATACCATAGTTTAAACCAGAGACTAGCAATAAACCACGTTTTGTAATAAGGCCGTAAAAGTAATATCACTCTCAGTCTTCGATATACTCGTAGTCATACCTCAACTATTAAAACAAAACTTACCCCGAGGATTACCTCACAATTGACCTTTTGTTAATCAAATAATTTTATTTTGAAGCTATAGGTATTTTATTGGATAAACTATGATGAAATATTATTTTCAGTACCTTTAAATTATTTCTTATTACTATTTATTTTATAAAGTACTACGTCTTTTTAAATTTTTATATGTAGTTATATCATAGAGCAGCAAGAGCCACCGACGGACCTGAGGGGAGTAACCATGTTTTTCTCCAATACAGAACTGTCAGTCGTTTTTTGCGGGAAGAAATCTGCGCACACAAAAACATTGTCTGTCACTATGGGATTCACACATACAATTAAAACAATATACTAACAATTTCGAACACATAGATACATTATAACAGTATCGCTCGGTGACAGTAACAACTCGGATCTGTCGCTGGACCAATCTGCGTATTGTATGAGGGCGAGCGGTCTGTGTAGTTAAACAAATCCTAAAGAACACGGCCGTTACTTTTGTAATTTTTAATTTTAAAAGGAAGTAAACAGCAATGATGTGATTAAAAATTACTTATTTGTGGAAGATAACGCCATCTTTGTGTAAATTTGACAGCAGATCCCTTTTTTCAGGAAAAAATTAACAATGGCATTTTTGTACACAGTGCGTCTGCAACTAGTTTTATTGTACGCATAGACCGCGTGGACTTATACTATGACAGAGGGTAAGCCTGCGTATGGCTATTCACTTCCTATCCCCGGGTGGCCCGTGTTGTTCCATGATGTACATCTAGGTTAAATATAAATGTTATTTCTAATATGTTGAATAATACTGGTGTTATATCCTTATGATTCTATTTGCGATTACATTATAATTATTTTGGATCTGAGATTGAATATTCTGACTATGCAAGAACTAAGTTCTACACAATATATATGCAATCTTTATGATTATCTTTCGTTGAATTTCTTTTTAACTGTTTGGTAATAATATGTCACAAGTAGTGATAAATACGAGTAATTTGTATTATTATTATATTGTGGCTGAAATTTATAGATAAATCATCGTATCGTTATCGTTATCGTTATAGATACATTATTTACGAGGAGGAATTGTAAAAAAATCGAATTGGTGTGTAATTTGCAATAATATGCTATGTTCATTTACTCTTTGCTTATCGTTATTACAGTTAAATAGAAGAGTATTAAACAAGATGTTTCTTTTCATTTAAAATAAAACATAAGTTATTTTAAAATATTTGTGGCTTTTTATTAATTGTTTTAATTTTAATTATACAAAATTCGATACTAATTACATTTTGAATTGAATTTTTGTTTCACATAAGTATAAGATCATGCTTTAAAACACATTTGCAGTAATTAAAATAGTTTCGTACGGTATGTCACTTGTTTTCATAAACAATGTTTTTTGAAATTGAAACGTGTTCTAACTTATTTGTAACACGTAACATTGAATTATTCAATTAACATCGATCAAAACGTTGTTTTAAGCATAGCTCAGATGAAATCTGATTAATTCATACAACTGATTTATTTAAAAAAATTACATTAAAACTTTAAAGGTAATATTTAATATTATAACTTTAAAGGTAATATTTAATATATCTGGTTACCAGGAAAAATAATACTATAAAAGATTTTATCGCAAGCACAGGCAATGGTAGAAGGAGTTACGGTGAATTTTATACAAATAACATAACATTATATAACTGTGAGCCCAGTTTTTACATGTATTATTATGTTTTACATACAAAATATATTTTATCAAACGATAATATTTTGTGTTTTTTTTTTTGGTAAAAATAAGTAGTTGCGGATGTATTAAGTATGTGCATTTTATTTGTCCAATTTAAATTGAAAATGAATTTAGCACAAATTGGAAATACCATAAACAACCACAAAAAAAATCCAAATTTAAAAATTCATAACGAGCACTGAATTTCTACATTTTAAAACAAAAAAGTTTTTACTGTGTTGCAGAGGAAACCACGATAAAATAAAAAAATATATATATAATACGTTGATCAATAAAAATAAATAAAAGAAACGCGTTAGATATGCGTTATAATAAAAAGCACAAAACTGTTAATGGTCACTGGTCATTTTATGCGATTACTTTCGTCTTACTCTGTACCTACATTAATGTGTCGATACTCGTATAATATGGTGATATTAGTTTATTACTTTGTTTTTAATAATAATTTTTATGGCTGTTTGTAATACGTTGTTAATTCCTCAGAGATTTTTTTTTACAATAGACGGATTTGTTACATTTAAACCCTTATTGCATAAATTTAAGTCTTTTTAATTATGAATATATATATATATATATATGTTTTCAAATTAAGGCTGTGTTGAATTTGATATATGAATTTATATATATTTTCATTTAAAGCCTGTAATAAAAGAAAATAAACTAAATCTTTGACGTAGTTTTAAAAGCACTAGCAAATTAAATTAGCCCAAGCGTTTGAAGTTCTCAACGGTTCGTTTGTTTTGAGGATATTATGTAACTAAATGTTGAATTTTGTAGCAAAAAATGGCGCTTTCAACTTTATTTAATAAAGTAAATTGTATAAAAGAGGCATTGAAAAAAAAAAGAATCTATCATTAAAATTTTAACCTAATAAGTTTTAGTGCAATTTGATGTCCAGCTTTTATATAAACTTCTATCGGAAACGTTACATCTTTGTACCTATTATAATAATATGTTCGCATTATATGTGCTCATGATTCTTGATCAACTTCCCAGTAGAAAAATATTCTAGTGGGTACGGAATTCGAAAACAAATTCTAACATGTTTCAACGTTAGACTTTACAATTCATCCGATGATTTTCATTAGATGTTTGATCACTTAATAATAACCTTATTAAGCTTTTATTAAAATCGATTATGTAGTTTTTTAAACCTTCGAATTTAAAATTGATAACACAACTGTTAGAAGTTGATATTTAGGTCTGAACAAATCGCACACATTCTCCATCCATCCATCCATTATAATATAATTATGTTATGATATTTCAAACGAGTGGGCTACAATATAAAATGTTTATGTCGTGCCAAAATTTTATAAATATAATTAATCACCTATGAATGATTTAATATTGCGTAAATGTATATAACTAAAACTAGGTAGTAAAATGTCTATAATACTCTTACAATTTGTATAATTATGTTAGGTTGTTATTTTATTTTAGAGATATTGGGAGATAAAATAGTGACAGAAATTCTGCCATTTTATTTAAAAATAAAAACACGTTATTTTTTACTAAGGTTTTTTTTAATACAGGATGTATTATCATACATAAATATCACATGGATAAACCTCCAGACCCGAAACAATTATTTGTAGGTCATTCAAACACTTCTTCCCTTCGAGGTTCGACCCGCGTCCCTGCTGAACGTTTAGTCACTGCATTTCCGAGTAAATTGATTTTATGTGATTGGAAATTAATTATCATGAATATATTATATATATTAAAGAAAGAGTTGGAATTTCTATATAACACAATTTGTACATATAAATTTAACCAAAAAAAGACCTATTTTATGGAAAAGAAGAGGAATATTAACAATCAGAAGAACCGCCTGACTAACTAACTTTTCTCCCAATTTCCCGATTATCGTATTAAGTTTTGTCTATTGTCTTTCCTTTATTTACAAAATGTATTGTGAGCGTCCACCTTTTAAAGCGTATGGTCAATTTCTAGCACTATCAAATTGTTCTGTGATACATGTGTTTATAAGTTAAAAATTACAAAATTATAATTGTAACCTTGAACTAAAGGAAATCATAGACGGAGATAGGTTAATTGTAAAAATAAATGCTTTTGATAATCACTATTAGCTGCTAGTATAATTTATTGGCTTTTGCATCAATAGATGTGTTTATTTAAGGCATTACGGTTGTTTCAGTTTTAGCCAAAGACTTACTTTTTGTGTAGATGTATAGCAAGTCACTCCGCCTCTGATTAACGTTAGTTTGAGGATAATGTATAAAATTGTCATTGGGTGTCTCGTTCTTAATGGCGGCGAATAAACGTATGAAAATTATTAGTTGGTTTTATTGTACGATCCCTCCGAGACCAGAAACGTGAGGATTAAAGAAGGAAGGTTCAGAAATGGTAGTCTC